TCCTAAGAACTATAAAGATATAGAGAATATTATTTATTGTTCTACAGTAGGAAAATACCAGTTCTTGTTCGATTATCAGATAAGATAATCGAGAATTTATCGGTATTTCTTTATTCATTTGCCATGTTCATGAAAATATGAATTTACAAATATTCCGCAGTCCAATCCATGGTCCAAGCTATGTAGTGATTTTTATACTCTTCTCAATTTTCTAATCGTTTCACGAATTTGTTCAGTAAGTGTTCGGATGTTTGGGAATGGGGATGCACGTCCTAAATCATGGAATGTTATCGAGCAGTATCGGCTCAAAAGCCAACGGGCTGACTCACATTCCGCGGTCTCTAGGAATTACCTCTAACCGGCTGGTATTCCTCTTCCCCATGTTCCTTCGTTGAACGAGGAAAATTACGACGGCTCGAGCACTCTCCGGCTGGCTGGCAGAGTTTTCGGTGTGGCGGCCACCGTTTTATTTATAGCGGAGGAGGTCGTGATGCGTTCCAAAAGCTACTCGTCGCACCAGTAGCACACGTTCGAGCGTACCGGCCTTTCGTCTCCGTACACCCAGTTCTCACCGATCAGTGTCTGTCCATTTTACTTGTTCGAGACACGGATGAAGAAAGGACGCGGATGCGTGTTTCGTGAATCGAACCTCTGACCGCGTGTAAATCGTCCAAGAAATCGTGTATCCCCGTTGTGTTTCTTCAGTCATCTTGTTTGGCGGACACACGTGACTACGTGGATTTTAACGTGGTCGAGACACGCAGTGTGTTAGCAGAGTAACGTAAAGTGTTAGAGAATCGATTTCTACGGACGAAGAATTGTGGTTCTGTTGGGAAAACAGAGATAGTTGGGTGTAGAGAGATATGAATGAGCGTGGGATGCATTAAACTGGTAGTGGTAGGTCCTCTTACGTTTGTTTAGCCAGTAGTAGTGAGTTGTAATATTAGGCCGGTGCATGTGAAATGTTCTTTCAGAGAAAACTCTGACCGCGTGTGGCTTCTTCGAAATATGTAAAAGACAATGAATGAAACTAATTTTTATTGAACGAACGATTACGTAGCTTTATTATTCCAGGCCCATCAGAAGCGTTAAATTCTTAAATTTGCTTCTTCATTTATGAGTTCAAAAAATCCTGTGACTGAAACTTTCTTTAAAAGGTTAAATTTCCATCTTCATTCCTGTTTCTTTGCGTCTCAAAAAATTTTCATTGAATTTTCTCCAAACATAAATTCATATCAGAGAATCGCAGGATTATTACGATTTTTCATGACAATCAATAACGAAGTTTTCATATTAGTCTTATAAACCTTCGTAACATTAAATATACATAATTTATAGGAATTCTCATTGGTCTCTCTTCATTGGTCCAGTTGATAATTGGCTTGGTGACGACAGAGCAAAATATCATAAATGTTATTAACCGATGAAACATTCTGTACGCACCTATGCATAATATATAATTGTAAATGATTCAAGAATAATTTATATCACTCCCACATAACATCTCTCTTACAATAACATATATAGTTGCCAATTAATTTTTAACTCCCGATATACATTTCAATATTCTATCCCACTCCCCCTTTTTAAAACCCAAAAGTTCGACTTGAAAAGTCAAGGTTAAGGCCAGAGATTTATGCGTTCGATATACCCCCAAACACGTCACGAGCAATCGCGTTTAGCGTTCGGCATTGATCCAAAGATCTCTCGAACAAGCCTGTTAATCGTTTCTATTCTTGAATCCCATACCTCGCAAACAATCGTTTCTCGTTCCTTGAAACTAACCACTTGCCGTTGAAAGAATCGTAAAAATCGAAGAAAATCGAATTCCGATGCATCCCTCGCAATCAACGACAAAAACTGAATAACAGTCTGGCGTGTACATGCGTGTGAAGTGAAAAGCAACTGACAGCCGGCCCGTGATAAATGCGGTTTAGAACCAGGACCCGACGTACTTCGTGCCGGAAGTCGATGGACTCGCGAAGCTGACGAAAACTGATCCACGCAGGCGATCGTGTAAACGGATTTCGTTCATCCGATTGTTCAGCCTTCTTTGTATCGACGAAAGTACGTGGTACACGCGAGTTCTCCGCCCTTTTGCGAGTTTCCTGCGATCCGCGCAACCGGAAAATGGCGCATCTTCGACGACCAGCTAGACGGGAACACTACAAGCCCTTTGGCAGAAGGAAGGTAAACGAAACTAGACTAACGAGCTGTTGTATTTTTTTACTAACTCCCAATTTGTATCGGAGGAATTGCAAGTAGAGTGTGACGTTCTACTTGCTTCGAATTATCGATCCAGTCTTCTCAATCCGACTATTTTTGCGGATATCGAATAAATTAGTAAATTGAGGGACGTAAGAATTCTGGTGAAACAGCTAATGTCTAACACAGAGATAATATTTCGAGGCATTTTTCATGACTATAGTAATATATATAGCGATTTGGTCTGTAATTGATTCAAATCTGAGGAAGGGAATATATTAATGGTACTTTTTGAAATAGAATATATCGCATAGTGTGGTTTATAACGATGGCTCATAATCCACTCTAATTTGAGGAAAGGTATTTGGTCGAGTATAATGCTCGGAATGGAAATGTATGTAGTTCCATTTATTATGGAATTACGTTCCAATAAGTTTCAGCGATATCAGAAAAATTATTACAATTTAACAGTCTTTCTAAACGTTACTTTGAGGAGGATAGATAGGGAGGACATGTATAATCTTGTTAAACTCGAAAGAGTTAAAATGAAAATGGAAGAAAGGAATGAGATTAAATATCGCCCCTTTTATATAAAAATTGTGAATGTGCAAGTTGTTGGCTGCTGTGGTAAGGCATTGGAATTTCAATGCAAATTCTAATTCAAAATGTGTTTCAGTGCCAATAATGGTATCGACGTGGTCGATATAAGATAAGAAAAAATGAATTCGACGGAACGTACTAAGAGTGTAATAAGATTATTTTCATAAGTGTGCCTTGTGTAACCGATCTATTCTTAAAATTCTACTTTAAATGACAGGATGCTCTAATGCCGCCTTTCTACTGAAATAGCTGCGACGTCCTTCGTCGGACGAGTGTCCTCTTGGTCGCCAAGTTTGCCAAATCAGCCTTCTGCAATGTCTGTTTTGCATCATTTGCAAATTGGATATGTCTTCATTCCTTGCATATAACCGATCAAACGTAGTGTGTATGTCTACCACTTTCTAGTCGAAATATCGAACACGATAATATAGAACGAGTAAAGCTGTATAAATCTTCAATTCAAGGATGCTTCGATCCGATCAGTTTGCGGTTGCCACACGAAACAGACAATTGCGTCTAACTTTGAACTCGTGCCACTCTGGAATCTTATCTCTTAATTATGTTCGTCTAATTAAGAAAGAAGGGCAGACGTTGTTTCTTTACTCGAAACAAGACGCTCTTCGTCGCGACATTTACGTAATAATAGCCTTTCGGTACTGTGTGCCTGTAAAACAGGAAACTTTAAAGGGAAGAAGCTTTTTCGTAATAGCCCCGACGATTCCGGAAGAAAGATTCAAAGGTGAAAGAACGACGTGTACAATGTATAGTAGGTTTGACCCAGTTCCTGAATCAACCTGTAACTCACGCGAAAAAAAAGGTCTCGTTGATACGAATCATAGGGTTTTGTTGATAAATTGGATTCCCTGACAATTCCGTCATATTAACACGGAAAATCCGGTTCAAAATCCTTGTAGATTCAATCTTGTTTGTTGGAATACCGAGCTTGTCATCGATCATTAATGTCAGAAATTCAATTAGTCGATTGATTTCCACTCCCCTCTCGTTGTCAGGGTAATTCATCAAATTCTTCAGTTTGTTTAGTATTTGTAACGTAATTATATTCAAATACAAATGAAATAATCTTGTTCTTAGAAAAAAGGAAAATATTCCGAGACGATTAATTTACACTTATTTTTAAATATTTATTACAAAATGAATGAATTATATCTAAACATATTTATGAATTTCTTACAGAAAAGATAAACCAAGATAAATCGAGATAAACAATGCAAAGCGTTGCAAACGATGCCTGTTCAATAAATTAATAAGCAAATTTTTAGAAACACACTTATAAATTTCCTAAATAAAAAGGAAAGGTAAATTCCAATCCAACGTGTACGCAATCATTTCAATCAATCGATATATACATATTCTACTATGTTTTACTTTGCCTCTAGAAAGATTCGCTGTCCAATCAACGAACCAACTATTGTGTATCCAATCAGAAACTTATCAATTCTCTAAAGAAAGAGAAAGAGAAATTCCACGGTAAATCCTAATCCAAAAAAAACAATCCCTACTTTGCATTCTAAAAAAAAATCTGCTATCGAATCAACGAACAACCTACATCCAAACACAGATCTACCGATATATTCCTCAAAAAGAACAAAATCGTCCAATCTAAATTCCAATTCAAGACGCATACTCCACAATCTCTGAAAAAAACGTCTATTCTCCACACGCAGAAAAATCTATGCTACGAAATCAACAAACGCAACATCTCTGCCCTTCGTAACGCGGAAAGCTGGTTTCTATTCTGGACCGGCCTTCTTTGACCCGGCAAACTTATCGGCTAAATATTCGATTCATCCGAATGACACACTTTCGGTCGGAGGAACCTTTGACCGCAGAGCGGCGGCGAAGACGTCTCGTGGTTTCGCGATTCGACTCCGATCGTCCTCGGCGCATACACGTTACCAAGCGCCTAGTAAGCGTGTATACGCATACACACACTCACATAAATGTATTCAAGAACGCGTGTATTCGTACAGTTTGATAGGACACGTTGCCTTCAGGGTGCAGTGGCCTGGCGTTGTCGTGTGGGTCGCAATGGGTGGCAAGGATCGGGACGGAGGAGGGGTTGTGGATCGATATAGTTACGGGGGTGTCGTCCGGCTTCCTCGGTGGCGCCACAGAGCGGGTGAGTCGGCAAACCCTTAGGCCGATGTATCAACTAACCCAGGCAGGAACGCGATTCGAGTTCGCGGGGACGTACAGCACGTAGTGTCAGTACGCGAAGAAACGTCGTCCCCCCATCATCGTCAAGTCGCGCGTGTGCCATTTCGAAACGACACCGATATCGCATTCGCAAGTTCAGTGTGTTCGAATAAAAAATAAAAAAAAAAAAGAAAAAAGCAGAAGAATTTCAACGATCCACGTTGCATCGTTTCACTGGAAGGTGATCGAGGAATTTCAATTTGTTTCATCTCGACGTGCTTCCTGTTCTACTCCACGAAGGGAACACGCGTAGTGCCGGGAGGCTCGGCGGACCACGCACGCGACCCCGGCCACTTTTCGACGTTTCCAAGCTGTTGATATTTGTTTTCCTTATCTACTTCCGCGCGAGACGATCGAACGCAGGTATACACCGTTGAGTAACATAGAACGTGTGGAAGGAGATTCGTCCAGTCACTGGTCAGACGGGAGGAAAACCGGCCTAAGGATGAACGCAGGCAGCAGGCTTTTACGATAAATGTTGATAACGCTTCGCGGCGGGCCGAGTCGATCGAATGAACATGAACTCGCCACTCCACGATGTCGTTGACCCGCTTCCGAGAGCGTCCTCCGCTTTCATAGACCCCCGTTCGAGTTTTCGTGGATTCGCAACCCGTCTCGTCTCTCTCGAGTGTCTTTGAAGCGATGAAACGTCTACATCGCTACTTGGATAGTCTACATTCTCTCTCTCTGTCTCTCTTTTTCTCTGTGTTCGCCTTTCTCCCTTGTTTTTCAAGCGTCTTTTCTTTTTTTTTTCGTTTTTATTCCTCCCTTTTTATCGTGCTTATCGTCGACGCTCTTTGAGCAAATTACGCGTCGTTGTTCGGAGGAAGACAAAGAGGACACTTGGCTGGATAAGGACATCCTATTATTCTTCAAAGGACACTGCCATTATTCGCGAACGAGGGTTTCTTTCGACGTGTCCCTCGGAATCTTCTTAACGCCACGAGTAATAATCGCGCGATGATATACAGAGGGTGTTATCTCGATAATCGTGAATCGTTGCTTCTCGCTGAATAATCGTCCACTGTTTACAAAAGGATAGCGCACTCGACACGGTACACTGTAACAAAGGGGTCAACGAAATCGATTGCCCTCCCTCTCTGATAATTCCAGACAGTCGAGTCTTTTTTTTTTTAAATCGTAACGTCCTCGATCCTCCGCTGACGGATTTCTAAGCCTACGACGTAGATAGAGAATACCTCGCTAATTAATTATCCAGAATGATCGAGGGAATTGCGTGATGTTGCTTCGTTCGTTGCTCGAGAAACGTTTTCTATGATATTAATGTAATTTCTATTTTCACGTCTCATTTAGCTTTCCCGAAATTTGGAAATTCCGCGAAGGAATTTGCTCCTTGTTCCATAACATCACGTGTATAATCCATTCTTTGACCATAAGTCTGGAATCCTCTTAACGATCTTTCATCGTGACCACCCATAATCGAAGCCTTACCAGCTCGATCCTTCGGTCTCAGCTATTAAACACGTAACAAGGTCTTTGCACACCGTCGATTTACATAAGCGTCGTATCGTCTGAACGATGTTTCAATCTAGTTCGAACCAAGACTCTCTTGCACGATAATTTATTAACTAATAATATTAGTGAACCGACGAGTGACGAGTCGTAGGTTATTGACTTCAAGCGCTTAATTTTAGAATTTTGCATAGAAATTAAATAATCAGTTGACCTGTAATTTATAAAATTCAATTGTATAATTTACTTCTTTTATCTCAATCTATCTCAACGAAATTTTAATTAGTATCTGACTGAATAGTCGCGATCTGAACGACAAAACTTTTTTAACCTGACAAGTATTTTTAGAAAGTATCATCTTTGATCCTAGCAAAATTTGTTTACCTTTGATTGTGTCATATCAAAGAACAATGTCATAAAGCAATATTGATGCGAGAAGATTGATAAAAATCTACTTACCGGATTTTTTCTTGGGATAACACGCAAATGGATAAAAATCCGCAGTCAAGCAACAGGGCCATGGTGAACGTTTTGAACTTCGACTGTGTGATCAAAATGGATCGATTAAAGGCGTTCATGAACAAACGATGAAATAAACCTCGGCTATATACAGTGGGCTATGTTACAATGAACTAATTCCTTCTAAAACTTTGTTCATTGTAGCATCAGTTCGTTCTAGCATACATAAAAATACATAATATATATGTATTCAAGGATAATCGGTTGCGAGTATTTTGCTCACTAATAATTAAAATTATATAGCAAAATAATTAAAAGAATTATATTTCGTACTACAAATAATGAATAAATAAATGATTCAACCAAACTAATAACGTAATGAATATTACTTTGTCACGTTCGTTATGACATCTTCGTTGGTTGTAGTATTTTGACCTTATTCGCAGCAACTGTCATAGTTTTCGTTGGTTTTAAAATCATTCGTAACGTACCCCATTGTATATATAGATGATACGAGATGGCCCAGTAGTTTCCATGTTACGTGACCAGACTTCGCGACCGATCAAATCGACCGTGTCGAGGATGTTGCAGGCATCAACGTCCACGGACAACAACGCGATCTCCAACCGTCGTTACTTTAATTGCTACGATGTAATTAACGGACGAGCAGTCGTTAGGCGAGGTCTCGGAGCCAAAGACGAAGCTCACGGTCTCCCCTCGTTAAGATCCTCCTCTTAAGAGCAATTATACCAGCATATTTTGTGACAGCGATGAAACGACCGCCAGTCTGGCACCGACCAACCGGTGTCAATCTCTACCAGACGATTCGTCGCGAAACCATTAGAGGAGAAGGAATAGAGTTATGGTGGTGATTGCTTAGATCCGAAAAAGGCCTTTCTTGTAACTCTCCTAGACCGTTCTTTAAGTATAATATGTAGGAGAATAAAAAGTCTTAGAGTATCTAGAGAGAGAGAGAAAGAGAGAAAGAGAAAATGGAAAGAAAGGATACTTAGGAAATATCATGAATTATGCGAGGGTTTTTGTCAAAATTTAGGAGACTGTGACGTATATTTGTTCTGAAGCTTTTCTTCCGCTATCTTCTCTTTTTTGGAAGTATATAGTGGATTATATAGATGAGCGAGGTTATATGTTATTACATACTGGTAAAAGTGGATTAGTTAGATTTTAGAGGATTTCGATAAGAGGACATATATTTGGAAATTTTGAATCCGATAATCTGCTCTTTGATTTAGTGAAAGTAACAGAGCAAAATATTCGATACGTTATAGACTTTGTCTAGAAGACTCAAACCACGTGGAATATAATACACTTGACCCATTCGGACTACACTTGATCGTACGTTAAACTTTATACTACCATAAGGGAATATCTGTATTCTAAAATTTTGAATCCAGTAACGTTTCCTTTGAGATTTGATAATGGTAGTAAAATAAAGCGAGCCCAGAAAATGTAAACCATCTAGAATATAATATTTGAAATATTCAATAGAGATATTTTAAACAACTGCAAGAAGATCAAATAACATATCCAATAATATAATTTCCAATATATTCAATAATACAATTAATACAATTCCCCTCGAAATTTGATAAACGTAGAAATTTCGAACCACCATCGTATCAGTATCGCGTCTGCGTTCATCCGTCAAAATCTCGAAGCTTGTCACATTGAACAAAGAATCTCCTTGTCGACAGCGTGTTCGAAGCTGAACACGAGGAGAGAATCATCGAGAAGCGATCTCGTCTCGCGGAGAAATCCGCGATGGACGCGAAAGCCGAAGCACCAGGTGCGATTCGAGGTGCGATGAAGCTGGAAAGCTGTGAGTAGATACGCGACTGGCGTTTGGATGGCTTGCAAACGGAAGCGGAAAAAGTCGTGGAAGAGCGCCTGAGGTGAAGTTCCACTGGCTGCACGGCCTTCGCGCCGGCCAGCATGGCGTAGCAACGCCGCGAAAATCCCACGTTAAACTTTTACCAACGGGGCAGAGTCTATTGCTAAGTTTGTTCCATTGGTTGAAAGAACGAACAGAGCAGAGGAGAAAAAGACGCAATGCGGTAGCGTGTGCTAAGCGAGAGCTTAGCGGATCAACGTCGTGCCACAGAGCCGGTTCAGAGAACGAAACTGGGCCATAACAGAGTCGAAGGGCCCGGCGAAGGTGGATAAAGCCACTCGAACAACGGCCCTGGCGACGACGGCGTTGGCTTCCGGCGATGATCGGATACAATCAACACAATTCTGGCTACAACAAGCTATTTACGCAGGTACACTACCGACAATCGTCCTTTCAAGTGTCTTTTCATTGTGTCTTGCTATGGTCATAAAAGAAAATTTGGTAGAGATTAGTTGACACTCATTGGGAATTTTATGTAGATACTTTAGAAAATCCTTTCGTCATCTCTTTTACTCTTCTTTTATATTTTCTTTTTCCATTCTTCATTGATATTCTCCAAACTTTCTTTTTTTCAATTGTCAGTTTTTGTGATTGTTAATTTTAATATTCTTCCATTATTCAGTTAATTTTTAACTAGATATCATTTGTTTCCATACGGTTTTAAACATGAGAATGAAAGAAATTCATATTAATAATTGACGATCACATGGTAAAACGTATGACAATTTGGATGATTTTATGTAATTTTTATTTAACGTCCTAAAGGGATACAAAGTAATTGAGTAAATGATATATGAATTTTTTGAAAATAGATGATATTTTGTAAGAAAGGAATAGTATCAGTTCTTCGTATAACTAATGTTATTAATATTTGTTAAATATTCAAGATCATAAAAGAGACGTATAATTAATCTAAAAATCAAACGAAAGGTTTAGTGCAGAATTGATTGACGATATATTGAATTTCTATAAAACAAGGAAATTGTCACTCATCGTATTCATTTCACTTATGGTATTCAACTATTATATCCATATTGAAACTTGTAGCAATTAACTGAATTAAATTGAAGCTTCCGCGAACTTCATTATTTATATTCTCTCAATTTAATTAAGGTGATCGTTCTCGTTTATATTCCGAAGAAAAACGATCTCGTTTTAGCTTTCACCTTAATGTTATTTTTTTTGTAATATACGACACAGGCACACAGGTAAGGTTATAAGAAGATAATACTTGTAACGCGTACGGCGTACACGTTTCATAAAGGGTGTCAATGAATCGGCCTCCTTACACAAAGTAAATTAGTTGCAAGGGAGCAGCGTGGAGCCTGCGAAGCGTCTTCATACATTTTCTCGATTTTATAAAGGATTTTCCGTGGCGTGCGATGCGTCATACAAGTTTTACATTAATCAGCCTGGCGTGAAATAAAACCGGCCAGGCGTGCTATCGTTGCACAGCCTCGATCCTTTACGTTGCAATCTAAATCGATCTGGTTTACATTTTGAGCGTGAAACCGAGCGTTTCCAGTATGCTCTGTTGCTCCTGCAGCCGCTGTTTTCGTCCTATTCACAGACTTCTTTTTATCCTCCTTTTATCCGCGTCGAGTTTTTAGTACTTTGTTTGCGTTACCTCGCCATTCTTCTACACTTAACGTTTACTTCATTTCCATCTTCCATCGTTTACCACTTTGGTCTCCTTCAAATTCAATTGAGGTAACTCGACTTGAAGTTTGTGTACACACGAGTCAAGTTATTTGACGCGAAGACATTTAAGTTCGAGTAATCTGATTTTGAGTGGATATTTAACCCAGATCTGCCCGTCATACGCTCAGAAGGATGATTTAAGGTACCCAAACTTAATTTCTCATCTTTTTGGAGCGTTCATAATGGCCAATATCCTTTTAGAAGGACAATGGTCTGAAAATTAATCAACAGATTTAATTTATAATTTACTACTATCGTTTATAACGCTGAATGTGCTTTTAGAAAGACAGTAATCAAAAACTTACTCAGCAGACTTAATACAGAACTTAAATGGAGCAGACATGGCCTTATTTTGAAAAATACCGCTACAAGCTCAGATACATTTAAGTTAAATGAAAATGGATGTCTGAATGGCATATATTTACAGTCAACTTAGTTTAGAGAGGCAAGAAGGTAATAGGAAGTAACGTTACATTACCTAGTAGCTGTTGCTCTTTTCACGACAAGAAATAGCTGAGAACTCGACAAAACGTTTTAAGACGAGTAAAATAACAGATTCACGTTAGTACAGTGGTCTGAAGCTACTTGAAGTCAACTGACTCAGTTAACAAGAAACATAGAAACTTGAAAGTATATTTCAAGATATTTTCATATCCATCCCCTATCTTCTTCCATAAATTCCTATCATCTTAATTTAATATTCCAATATAGAAATTCGTATTACCCAATGACACAAAAATGCTCTGGCTAAAAATTCGTCACACGCGATTGTTCGAGAGCATTCCAGTCCTCGTGATCCCCCGGAGGGTCGAAAAAGGTCGTGGTGGCACGCATAGACGAGTTTACACAGTCACGCACGGGGAACAGGTAGAGAGACGATTAAGTAAAGGCCGTTGGCATGGTTACAAGCCCCGACCGAATGAACTCATCGTCCCGATAGAAAGAGCGAAAGAGAACGACAGAAAAAAGATCCCATTTAAGGGTGAGGAAGACTAAGGGGAAGTAGGAGGGAATCATTTTGTAAATGAATTCGACTTTCATCCGTCTAATACTATATAACGAAATTCGAAATTGCCTCCGAATGCACCATGCTGAAATGCAAATCGAACGGTCGCCCGAGTGATGCGACACACGCTGGGCACCCTTTGCATTTAATTAAGTATCTAATTACAGGACAGGTAAAAGCTTTGACTTTGAAAGGTGGATCAATACGTCAATGTCGTCTTCGGTTTGGAATCGATAAAATTGTTAGAAATTGCGTCTTCTCGCTTCGATGAATTTCCAGGTCTCTTCATGCTCGAGAACGTTCGACATCGATACGTCTTCCATCGCGTTCGACGCAATCGATCCAATTAATTCGTCGTACGGGCAATTAATTGACCGTCCAACATCCCTTTTTGTCACATTGTCGCCAACATGGTTGCGTTACGAGCTGTTCCTGAAACGTTTGGCAGGATGTTCCGCGAGTTGACGCAACCAATTGCGCAGCGTGCGTTAACGTATAGATAGAATCCTAACTTTCGTCGCGGATAATTTCCGGTGTTGTTTGCCCAATTGCCACGCGATTATTCTAGAAATCACACGGAACTAATCGTGAAGTATATGTAACACTTTCGTAACGCGTACTTTTGGCATTGTGTTGCACTGACACTTATAAATTTAACTAAGATGTTATTATATTATCATAGCGAGTTAAAAGATACAGTGCGGGGAAGAAACATCACGATTTTACAAAATGGAATTATAACTGACATTGAAGAGCAATGCATAAATATAATGTACATCCCAGAATAGAGCGTGATAAACAATGCATAGTATGAAACATAGCGATACTCGTATACATTAGCATACATTCAAATTTTTTTTACATACCATTGTATGTTAGACAGTCTACTGACCACTGTCTCGTTTTATTTAATTCCTTTCATAATCTAGAAATAAAAAAAATTCGTGATAAACACGTACCTAATGAATATACGCTTGTCCAACCAGGTACGGTCCGCTCTACTTAGTCGCGTATTATCCACTTATTTGTACAAACGTTGAATTTTTTCAAGTCGAACGTATATAATTGCATTTTGTTACGTTCCTATGACAGAAGTACGAGCAATTTATGAAATACGACAGTAAATTGGAGACTAGATATCAAAACAAATATGAAATGAGAAATTGTGCAAAACAAGAATTTCATCGTTTATACCGATTCAAGTAACAAGCTGTTGCAAACTAGCACGTTAAAATATTTGCAAAGAAGTAGGGTCTGCAAAGACGGCTACGGTTGCTTCAGAACCGACGAAACTTCTCTTTTTAAGCTAATGGTCCCCGACTCTCAAAGCCCTTGAGAACTTCTCCAAGGCTTCCGTGGGCAAAACATCGGGCTCCCTGTAGTTCTTGGAACACGAACTTCGCGAAAAATCTTGCCAGAGTCGTGACGCAGTAGTTACCAGTGTTTGACAAATTCCGTGAAACAAGAACTGACAAAATACCATAATAACTGGTAGCGTCTCCCCAAAAGTCTCCCATTTTCCAAATTCTATTCGTTTAAGCTTTTATTTTACCAACCGCGCATTTTACTACTATTCGTCAAAGCAACATATTGGACGTATAAAATAAACAAAACAAGGAAACTCGCTTTCTGTAATCTTTGTGAACCCTGACAGAAAATAGGGTATATTAAAATTATCAAAAAACGACCAACGTTATTGATACGTTTTACATTACCGTTTGTAAAAATAATAACATATTGTATATATAGAAATAAAACGAGAAAATTCACTTTTTGGAATCTGTGAACTCTGAGAAAAAAGGAAGTATGTTATTATCACAAAATCAGGGAAGAGTCGTTACTGTACTCGGTTCGAAACTATTCGATAACGATCCGAAAGTAATAATGGATTTCGCTTGGAGGCGCGATTTAAACAAGTTTATTTTGTATTTCAGGGCTCGGCAGACTCGAACTACTCACAGCCGAGCTCGGATCTCTCGCTGGACGAGGAGAAAGAGAGCTTGCGTCGTGAGAAGGAGAGGCAGGCCCTCAATCAACTTGAAAAAGCCAGGGTGAGTCATTGATCTTTCGCATGTTCCAGTTTCACCTCTCCTTCCTCCACCCCCGTTTGGCTTGTTTTTCCACCGGTCTTTCGTAAATCGTTTGGTATCGATCGACTACTTCCGAACAGCGTCATTGCCTCTGACGCCGCCTTCACGTTCAAGTCTGTAAGTTGTCCGCCGAGGAATGAGGGAGCGTGTCAATGAATAAGCGCGCCAGACCAATGAGATTTCGCACGCGGAGACCGCTTGGCGAAACCAATTAAGCGACTCGTGATCCTTTGTTTTCGACGATAGATGCAAATGCAATATATCGCGTTGCCAGCCGTGATACTATTGCCTTTAATTGTACCTTCCTTTCTAATAGTCGGTGCAACGCGTTCGAACTCGGTGAATTGGTAATTATCGGATCGGTTGTCTAGATGTTTCCGTCACACTCCTCTCTTCTTCCCTGTGTACGTACAGGATCGCCTAATTGTGTTCAACTTTGTATCAACGGGCTTTTGAATAGTGCAGAGTATGGAGAATGGAGCACACTTGTGATCCACCGAATTTTAAAACCTCTTTTGGTTTGCGAATTAAAAAATTTCTGACCATTTAAATCCTCGAATCTTCGAATCTTCGAGCTTATATATTTACGAACATTCGAATGTAACTTAATCCTACGTTTCAACGATAAATTTCCTGGTACGAGCATGAAGTTTCGCAGAATTAGGGCGAGTATTTAGACCAAGTAATAACAGAGCGGGTCATGTCTGAATTATGAAAACTCTTTTGTTGGCCAGCATACACGGCCCATCAGTCGAATCACCTTCGGCTGAACAATAAATGAATATTGATTAAATAGCCGCGACCTTCGAGTGGTAGAACGACGTAACAAATGCGGACAGCACCCTATCACTGTATTACGCTTTTATTCTTTGCCGATGTGTCACATGATACATTGACAATGTACCGATCATCCGTGATCTCATCGGCATTTACTTTATGCTTAAATTATTGTTGCACGAGTATCGTTGCGATATAATGGATTACGCTACACGACCCAATAAAAAAGTCGATATCGTAAACAATAAAACTAGCTTATTTATCGAAATATTACCGCTGATATTCCTTCGAGAAAAATTTTCTAACGAGAATCTGGCTCTTAAGCGCTCTTTAACATCTTGACTATCGCGCGAATATTATATTAGGTTGTCCGAAAAGTTGTGATCTTTATCTTGATAAGATAAAATGGGTCATACGTAGTTCGATAAAATAATATAAAACGGAAAATGTTGCGCATCCATTATTTCCTTATAAAACGAAAGAAACTTTTCGGACGACCTAATATGTATATTTTAGATTCTCATCGTTAGAAATTTATTAGTCCACGAGATTTATCCTTTTTTAATCATTATAAAAAATTTAGTAAAGAACGTGATCATCAATAACCACCATGTGGTAGCCAATATGTTAACGTATAACTTGTAATTAATGTTAAATTATATAGAGTGGCTTTAATAGAAAGTTTTTGTAAATTATACAGACGAAAGCGGTAGCGTTTGCAGTACGGACCAATGTGAGCTATGATGGATCTGTCGACGATGATTCGCCTGTCCATGGCTCGGCTATCAGCTTCGAGGTCCGCGACTTCCTGCACATCAAGGTACGTTCTTCATCTTTTGTGTGTTTTCTTAACGATCTAAAGTAATCGATCGTCCACGAAACTCTTCAGGAGAAGTACGACAACAATTGGTGGATAGGTAGGCTGGTGAAAGAGAACGCGGACGTCGGCTTCATCCCGTCCCCGGTGAAATTAGAGGCCCTGAGGCAGCAGGCGAGCGCTGCACGTGGTACAAAGGGTCTCTATTCGGCACGTGGAGGGTCTTCAGGGAACCTTGGCGAGAGTGGTATGCCCTCACGTGGTTCCACACCACCTACACCAGGTATCCTAGCACGTCCTTCTTTCTTTCCGCCCCGAAAACCACGGTGTACCGACCAGTTCGGCAATTCTCGACCGATCGATGTCTCGACAATGAAAACACAGACCGGAGAGAGGGAGATCGTCGGCTCGTCGTACAAAAAATACAAACTGAAATAAGAGAGACAGAAAAGATATACGAGAGAGAAAGAAAACACGAAAGAACACTAAAAATCAGAAAGAATCCTAAGTTGGCCCTAAGTATATGTACATATACAAACACTATAGTAGCTTTTGTTTCTTTCCACACCGCATATGTCGTGGGCTTCTTTCTTTACCTTCTCACCATTCTTCTTTGCCCGTTTTTATTTTAGTTAAGAGAGTGAATCCTCGACTAGCGATGATCGAGTTCTGCGAGTTAGATCATAGGAAATTCAGCTAACGTTGCGTTGGTCATTGGAAATATTTCTGCATGTACTTTGACCGCCTTCTTAACTCTAGAACTACCGATCATTTACTTTAACCTATTCGAAACCGGTGACGCACTGGACATGCCGTATTTATTTGATGTAAAATCAAATGCTGACGCATCCTATGCGTCGTATGAAGGTATTTGTGTTATCGTTATTAGTCACTAGAAGTAAAATCGTGTATTGCAGAGAGTATTATATAAGATTAAGAAATGACGTTGGTTTCGAGATAAAGATATGTAATCCTCGAACAGGATCATAGAAATTTCGAAATGTCAATCCTTGAAAATTTCCTGTGAGAAAATGTACTTTTCTCTCGAATGGGTTAACGTATACTAAAATGTACATAGATGATTATAATCAAAGTGATATAATGAAAATAATCACGTTCCTCTCTGAATAAAATCCAAGATCAATTTTTCCAAAGTTTCTGCATGTTTTTAATAATTTTAAACTGAAAAAGATCCATACTTGTAACAAGTTTAATAATTCTACTGTTAAACGTTTCGTCTAAACACTGATCCTACGGATCGAGAATTTCTCCTTCTCATATTGTAAAAAAGATACTAATTCGAGATTTTCATCAATGACCCACGCACGAGTACGATCACACGCTTGATATTAGTATCCACGTTCACCCGCCTCATAGTTCAGACTCGACGATACGATCAATCGATCCTGTTCGCCGACAGCCACTCTATTCACGATCACGCACAGACCCAGTCAATTTACGTCATATTTAGTATTCTATGCTGTAAATGAACTTTTCAGTAGTTGCTTCCACGATCTCTCCAGACAATCATATTCGACAGCATCGAATTTATTTAGTACCCTAGGTTTCTTAGTCTGCATTCGATCGCTTCTCACTCTAGTTTTCCTTTGAGAGAAAGAGGGACATCCGTCGATGCACGATGCATAGAAAGGATCGATTTCCATGATTAATTCGATCCAATTTCTTTTCTTGACAGGTGACGACAGCGACAGCGTCCGCGGCGGTAAGGCAACGTTGACCACGCCACCGGCTAAGGAGAAACGGAAGAACTTCTTCAAGAAGCCGGTAAACGATTTCGACGAATCGCAGTGTCTATGACTATTCCGATCCTTTTTGTGTCCACTCGTCTAACGTCGTGCCTGATTCTACTTTGGGTCTCTAGTCTTGTAGTCGACAGCTCGAGAAAGTATATATTTCTAGTCAAAAAAGTCTCGTCCACGTTTGCATGAACCCGAGATGATCCTATGAACGTTCAGAAGGAATCCTGTAAACGTACAGCGCTGCTTATGAGTACTAGGACACTTAAGTAAATCTGAAAAATCATTAGGAAATTACCAAAAACATTAAGAAACGCTGTCTTATTTGAAACAAAGATATAATATTATAACGATATAATAATGTAATGTTACAATAATAATTTCATCAAATTTTTAGCTTTTGAAGTTTTCCATCTAATTTGCCTCAAAATAAAAAAAAAACTATATGAATCAACTCATATTTATTATAATTTATTATGTTGCTTATATAACTCTTCCAAATTTAACAACTTTTATCTATATATATTGGTTGATATCTTTGCAGAAATACAAAATTCAAATCGAGTATTCCTTGATTACTTAAATTAATTATTACGTTTTTACGTGAAACCAGCAGGTGTCAAAATACTTATAATCAGAAATATAGCCTTATATTTCAATGAAATATTTTTCAGCAAATCCCATATTTCACGTCCATAGTACAACATTTTTGTAGTCGCATGAACATGAAATTTTATATTACGTAGATCTAATCAATTGTAATAAATATAATGTGTACGAATACTTCGTACAGCCATTGTGCAAAAAGGATTCTATAGACGCCGAAGAAGGCGTAAAACTTTATAGACGTTCAAAAAGGATCCCATAGATATTCACGGAGTATCTCACCAACTCTTACGGACGAAGATAAGCTCTATGGGATATTAGATAGGTCCAATCAAAATTTTTCGTCGGTTTGGCAAAGATTCGCGTTCGATAAAACCGGTGACGTGGACGAGGCTTACGTGTCTAAATTTATCTGTCGGTGCTAGAAAATATCGTGGGCCACGCGAGGACTAGCAGATTTATTTCTGTGAGTATGCGATTGTGTGTATGATACTGGGATACCTGCTGTCTCTGTGCATCGTGTATATCTGTCGAATCAAAGAAGAAGAAGAAAGTAAGGAAGGACAGAGGACGCGAATCGAGCATTCAGACTCGTAACTCTCCAAACCGAGAGTTTATCCGATAATTCCCACTTTCAATTTCCGCCAATTTATTACGCCAACAAGAAGCAATTATTCTAAAGCCTAGTCCATTATTTCTCGGCTGACTGCTCTGCGAACTGTGTCAAATGTTCCTTTTCCTGTACTCTTTCCTTTTTTAACCACACATATACAATATGTCAGTGTGTCGATGTGAGTAGCAATTTCTAGCATCGATCGATAATCAAGTAACAATTATTCGATCTTAGCGGACCATTTTACCATGACGAGGATGATCTCGTCGAAGATGCCCTGACCTTGATGAAACCACGTGGTCCGTTTGCTGAAAATGGTTCGCCGAAAACACGGTAGAATGATGGCTTCTAACGAGAACAGATTTAGTGCGTAGGAGAACGTTGATAGCTTAGGTTGATCAGTAGTTTACAAAAAAAAAAAAAAAAAAAAAAAAAAAAAAAAAAAAAAAAAAAAAAAAAAAAAAAAAAAAAAAAAAAAAAAAAAAAAAAAAAAAAAAAAAAAAAAAAAAAAAAAAAAAAAAAAAAAAAAAAAAAAAAAAAAAAAAAAAAAAAAAAAAAAAAAAAAAAAAAAAAAAAAAAAAAAAAAAAAAAAAAAAAAAAAAAAAAAAAAAAAAAAAAAAAAAAAAAAAAAAAAAAAAAAAAAAAAAAAAAAAAAAAAAAAAAAAAAAAAAAAAAAAAAAAAAAAAAAAAAAAAAAAAAAAAAAAAAAAAAAAAAAAAAAAAAAAAAAAAAAAAAAAAAAAAAAAAAAAAAAAAAAAAAAAAAAAAAAAAAAAAAAAAAAAAAAAAAAAAAAAAAAAAAAAAAAAAAAAAAAAAAAAAAAAAAAAAAAAAAAAAAAAAAAAAAAAAAAAAAAAAAAAAAAAAAAAAAAAAAAAAAAAAAAAAAAAAAAAAAAAAAAAAAAAAAAACAGACTCTGCTTGGCCAAAGCGCCTTTAGAAAAAAAAAAAAAAAAAAAAAAAAAAGAAAAGAAAGAAAACAGACTCTGCTTGGCCAAAGCGCCTTTAGAATGCTGAAGAAAGATGGTCGATGAGATGGCGATATTACCGTGAGAAGGACTTTGGCCGCGCAGGAGGGTAGGTCGTATACTGTCTCCAGTCGACGTGGCCATTAACTGTTTTCAATGTTTTCAATGTTGCATTCCGTGCGCACGAAGTCCTACGTAAGTGAGAGACTATCTTGGGGCAGATCCTGGCGTGTAGGACATCCTCTTAGTCGGTCTAGACTCATTCGTTCGTCTCGCTTTCAGGAAACAACCACGCCGTACGACGTTGTACCATCTATGAGGCCTGTCGTCCTGGTCGGTCCATCGTTGAAAGGTTATCAGGTGACGGACATGATGCAAAAGGCGTTGTTTGATTATTTGAAACATCGGTTCCGAGGCAGGTACGCGAAGCTCTCTTTAAAATTGAAGCTCTTAGTCGAAGAGCAATTATTTTTATAAGAGCAATTATTGAACATCTATTTGCATATTTTCCGTAACATTTATGTACATGTGCATGCTGAATTCGAATCTGCAAATAGACTTTTTCCATCACTCATACTTTTTCTGTAATTGCTCTTTTCATTACTATTACTAAAAATTATTGAATTCGTAGCAAGTTATTTTACTAATAACGCTACGCTATACGTAAGATGAATTTAAATTAATTTATACTTGGCACATTCCTTAAGAATAAAATTCTAATATTGAAGAAATTTATTACATAGTTAATAGCTAGTCTTTGTGAGGTTTATGTAATATCTTATCATACAATATGACAACAAAATAAAAATATTTTGTGAGCCAATGTTATTTGAATAATTATGTTTATATAATACTTTATCATGTTATACGACAAGAAACGAAGGATGTTTTGTAAATTGATATTATTCGAATATTATTCTATTTGCACGAGGAAGTATTCTATTCTTTGCACTTCTGGCTAAATATTTGTTTCTACGATTTCAGAATAATTATCACTAGGGTAATGGCAGACATTTCACTGGCAAAGAGATCGTTGCTGAACAATCCATCAAAACGAGCGATCATGGAACGATCCACAAGCAGGAGCAGTTGTTTGGCGGAGGTTCAAGCCGAGATCGAGAGGATTTTTGAGCTTGCCAGAACCCTTCAGGTACTTTATCAACCATTTGATCCTCTCGTTTCTAAACATTGTCCACTTACCACTATAAATTTCTAGTTGGTAGTTTTGGACTGCGATACCATCAATCATCCGTCGCAGTTAGCTAAGACCAGCCTGGCGCCAACGATCGTCTACCTGAAGATTTCGTCACCTAAAGTGCTCCAAAGGTTGATCAAGTCGCGTGGAAAGTCGCAGATCAGACATCTGAACGTACAAATGGTGGCTGCTGAGAAATTGGCTCAGTGTCCTACAGAGATGTTCGACGTGATCTTGGATGAGAATCAGCTGGAGGAAGCTTGCGAACACGTAGCTGAGTACCTGGAAGCTTACTGGAGGGCCACGCATCCTCAAGTGATCGCTACAGTGCCACGTCCGATCCCTGCACCGGATGCACCGGTCGACGCGTTAACACCTCGCGTCACATCAGGTATCATATTCATTGTGACGCGTCGATTATGGTCGCATATTATCATCGAGGATCTCGTAGCAGAATGTTACCAAGTACAAATATTCTACGTGAGTTTCATTATCGCGGAGAATGGCCTGGTTAGGATTGTACACCTTCATAGACGAGTAGAGTATTTGTATTTCAAAGGTATTTTAAAATTGGGTCGTTTAATTGCTGGTAAAAAGAGGAATTTTGTGTATTTCGTGATTTGATTTCGATAGACTCAGACTGGAAATCTAGACAACGACATCGAATCATATATCAGTCAGTTACTTACCACAGAGAATTATTTAAGCTCGGTGATCGCGACATATCATCATCATTATTCTCGTCCACGACTGTCAATCCTTTTCACACAGTCTCAATGCGATCCTCACCTCTCAGTCATGGCTGGTTGGGTCGAGGTTTCTAGCTCACTTGAAACTCTAACGAGCCCCAATTCCGTCAACTAACACTCGACACTTTCTTCTTGCCTCTTCAGGTGCCCATCATGAGAGTTACTACGGCCACGAGCCAAGAGGTAACCCAACCTTTTTCTCGAGCGCAAAATTGTACACACGTCCCTTTTTCTTTCTTTTCTCTTTCTACGAGTCCAACGTCGCGCACCCTGTGTTCCGTTACTTGCTTGAAGATGTAGAAAAATAGAGAGAAGAAAATAGATAAAAGGTTGAGCTGATAGAATAAATCGGAGAGAAACGATTATATTCGTTCTGGTATTTTTCAACACGCGAACAAACACCGTCGTTCGTTTTTCCTCTTTTGTTCCATTTTTTTTTCTTTTTTGTTATCGAGACTTGGATTCTCGAGAAAGAGCAATGGCGACATTCGAAGCTAGTAATGAAACACATCTGTAGTTGTATCATTAGCTGCACGTAGCCGTTGCATGGATTCGTGTTAGAACGTAGAGTTACTCTTTATTGGAAAGACTGCTAGTCGCTGGTTGCAGACCTATACTCAGCCTTGTAAATTATTACGATATATCGTTCGATGTACGCTGCACGTCCTTCTTCTTCGTGTGCACGCTATAGCGTCTGAATGACGCGCGAGAAGTTATATCTCTCATTTTCGTTGTATATACCCTGCTCTCGTTGTTTCTTCTATTTAAATCAGCGCTGTTCGAAATAAACTCGGAAATTCCAAGAATCCTATTTAACCTTCTTTTTCTTTTCCTCTTATAAAAATTTTAATATCACGTTCTATAAAAAGGAAAGAAAAAAAAAAAAGAAAGAAGGGAAGAAAGGAGGTTCCACCAACGCGAACAATGCTGGTTTAAACTATACCTACAAACTTATTATTTTAACTTGCGCGTTTTCCGCATGATTTGGCAGATTAAAAATAAACTAGCAGTCTTTGAACTATCAAGAAAAATACACGTATCACGGTGAAAGATATTCGTACAGAAAGCACGACACCTTTATATTGAATTTCTTTTCAGCGACGATATATGGATCGGCAAACATGTATCAACCTCTGCAAGACAATGGCGCGTTCGTTCTCGTTAGTTTCAATCACGTTTTCATATTGTTTTTCTTTGCTCATATCCACTTCCTTTCTACGCTCCACCAGAAAGACACGACCATCCCTCGTCGTCAGTTTCACCGCCTCTATTATTCATCCTCATCTCTACGATCGTTTAATATAATTCTAGCTGCAGCTTACCTCGTGCACGCTGCGCTCTGTCTACTACCCTGACACGAGTGGATTTACCCGTGACATCTGTTCGACTATTAATATTCATTAAAAGCGTTTAGAGCATGCGTTCATGATGTCGTCACGGACAAAGACTTCTCAAAGTGAAAAGACTAACGTCTTCTTGATAGTATCGTGAATGAAGCTATCATGTTTCATGGATCGTTCATTCTTTTTGTTCAATGCCCTCAACTGGTACGGTAGAATAATTTCTAAACAATTTTCGCAATTATGACATTGTATACGGAGGCTCGTAAAAGTATTTGAACATTTACCATAGTGAATTTTTTTATATATTTTAACGTAAAAAAAATCTTACTTTTGGTTAATTTCATTTTGTATATATGGAAGAATTTTATTCCTCCTCTTGTAAAATTATCGACTGCACGAAGAACGGGCTAGAAAATCATCGTTTCGATAATTTTGCACTAGCATGTCGTCAAAGATTCAATTTTTCAATGTTTATGCTCAGAGAATATTAATAGACAGAAGGAAATACGTGTCACGTGAATAGTAACCGCCTGGTTGGATCCAAAATCTTAAAATAAATCTTACGAGCTGCCAGTTAAGGGTTGATCACGTAAAATCCACGCGTGTAACATGCTACGCAAGACTAACAACACGTAAACAAGCGCGTGACCGTCCACCCTTGCATACTCTCTATCTTTTTCTCTTTCGTTTCATCGTAAAAAAAAAGTCCTCATTCGATGAATCGCAATAATCTCCACCAAAACGACGACTCTACCTAAAATATAAAAAGGAAAAAAGTTAAAACGTTCCGTTACCACTGGCAAAATTAAAATCTCAGATCGAGAATAGAAAGAAAGAAACGAAAAGAAAAAAAAAAAACGAAAAATAGAAAAGGAAACGGAAAAAAGAAAAGAAAGCACCAGGTCGAAGTATGATCGGCAATCAGCTCTGACTCCGATGTTCTCTTTGTTTACGTGTAAAAGTCGTGGAGGCGGTGGCTGCCACGGGAGTCATCCGAAAACAGGGCCAGTTCACCTATGGTCCGGGTGACGAGAACAAGCCCAAAGAGTCGAGCTAAAAGAACGCTCGCACGCACGACGACGCTTCTTCCACACACACACTTCCTCCTCATCGCGGATGAGATTTTACGGCGTAGACCGGCTGACCAATTCTCTGTACTCTGTCGTCCTTCCCCTTCCCCCGTAATCTTAATACACGGGGGATTACGATGACGATCGAGTGAATTAGAGACTGTCTGTTTATAGGGAAACCTCCTTAATAAGGCCGCGTTGTAAGTATAGACGGGTTTGGTGCACGGACCCGGTGAAACGGGACCTTATTCTTGTTTCTCTTACCCAAAGAGAAGGATTTATTTATTTAATCGATTGGTTATTTAATTTTGGTTAATTTGGTTCACCTCAAATGTTCCTCACTTTTCCATCGTTTTTTTGTTTAATTCATTCGTCTATTCTCTTTTATTTTATATTATTTTTGTCATTCGATTCATCCGTCGACGAAGATTTCTGTTCTGTTCTGTTTTGTGGAAGTGATTCTCCTTACGTTCTCGTTTCAATTCTTAATCAATCTCTTTTTTTTTACAGTTCTGTTCTATTTGTTCGTTTTATCTCCCCTTTTGTTTTTGGTTGTCTCGCAAGCCCTTCCACCAACCCTTCTCACATAGAATAGGTTGATATAGAATAGCCTAACGAAGCGTAATCAATTAACGAGACTTGATCATGGGAATCGAGAGGATCACAGATTTTTCGATGGAATAATGTTACACGTAACATGACTTGTTTCAAGAGGAATTTCAGAGCGCGGTCTCTCGGAAGATCTTCGAAATCCTTCTTTTGGGATATTCGCTTTGTTTTTGTGCTCTCCCCTTGTTCTTTTTTTTCCTTTTTTTTCTGAACGAACGCGAATTTCACTTTCAATGAAAAGCATAGTTTTTTTTCCTTCTAGTCGAAGCAAGTCCATGGAGGAGGACTTGCGTCGAGTTTCAAGGACTCGTTTATTTCTCGATGTCTGCGCTCCAGCGCAACGATAGCTCGAACGTCGGAGTCTTTGCAAAACCGTGTCTTTTTTTGCCCCTCTCGTTTTTCTCTGTCTTTTTTGTACGCGCCCTGTTCTTTTTTTTGCATAACTAGCTTGCATGCACTGTGTATGGTGTGTCGTTGCGGTGTTGTTTTAGGTGTGACATGTAGGCGGACTTACTGATTCCTCACCGTCCAGCTTAACGTCGAAGTAACAATCTCTTCTGTAATCTAGTTTTTTGAGTGACACCCCGTGAAATTCGATTGCCAAGCTCGATATTTTAATACTGTAACATCAACTATAAGAATTATAAGTTAAATCGAATTATGATTTTAGCTCGTCGAGCTTGAGTAATAACAAAAATTTGAAAGGAATACGGAATATCTTCGGAATTAAATTTAAGAAGAGATTAAAATTAATTCTCTTCAATTCAATTTATGGATTCTATACAACTCGTATAATAAATAATTCTATTTCTTAGAATCAAGCTCCAATCCTAACAATGTTCCACTATCAAAAACTCGAGCAGGAAACAACGATATTCAAAATTCGCTTCCTTTCAAATTTTACCACAAAATCGCGCCTAATTTCTGTAACACCTTAAATTCTATAGATTCACGTAAGGGGTATCGTGGCCAAGTTACAGAAATTCAGGCTCCCTGAACCCCACTAATATTAACAACTGTAACATTGAATTTTACCAAAAAATCTAGGATCAGGATCGTACAGCGGCGGACACATGAGCGAAGGAACTCGAAAGTCGAGGCTGGAGAGGATGGATCGTGATCGGGGCGATCGTAGTGAACACGACTACGGCAACGAGGAGGAATCGTACGTCAGTGGCGTCGATTACGGGAGCGCGTCGAGGCGTCGCCAGCAGCAAGATCCGCGCGCATTGAACGCCATTTAGGAGCTGGGGCCCCGGGGCCTGTCGCTACAGCGCTGTCCCCACCTGCGCACCACTGCTCTTTAGTGGGGTCGCCACCTGGTACGCTACTGAACGTACGAACGTGCTTAACGCTACCGTAGCGAAGAAAACAAAAAATATTTGCGCTCTGGTCTGTTAGTGGGGTTTCTTTCCTGTCGCTACCCGTAAGATGGTTCATTTTGTTCGATTTACTGTTTAATAGCTAGACCCTTGTTGTTCGAGCTGTCCCACAATTTACATAGAAATCGCCTTTCGTTACGATATTTCTAGCCTTTAGTATACGGCATCGTACGTAACGCATGGAACTCAGCGTGTTTTCATGCAGAATCATTTTCATTTTCTTCATTCTGTCCGTTTATTGGTGCCGGATCTCGATGTAGAACTTCTATTATAGATACATTGCATCGTATTATGCCAATGATTCTCGTTACCGAGGAAGCGTGCACGATACTTTACGCTGTAACAGAGAGTAGAAATGTTGATTATGCAAAGTGTTGTTCTTTCGTAGAGCTGAGATTTTGAATCTCAGGTAAATCGCTTTGATTTTTATTTGTTGGATTGTTGAGATGGTACGCGTGCACGCTTGTCTATGATACACGAATGTTTCATCCTACGAGGTATACACTTTCTTCCGTTTGCGACTATTTTCGTTATGATGGAAGCAAGAGTTAGCGAGCTAGTGCATTATTTTTTCATTTTGTTGGTTCCAAAGTAAACATGGCGTAATTTGTCGTAACAGAGTAACGTGTCCATGGTGACAGACATTGTAGATTCTATTTTCGTAATCGTACTCTCGATTAAAGGAGCCTTGTTGATTTCGTAACGATCGTTTTCTTGACCATTCGATAGATATCGTACAAGTAGAAAGACCCATTCTAGTGAAACCAATTGTTGTTGTCATGAAACTATCGAGTAAATGGCTTTGTTCTGTTCCCATCCCCCAACCCTCCTCCGTTTTACAGAAATTTTATCAAAGCAATTACAAAGTTCGTTCGCGTAAATGGAGAGCGTGTGAGAGAGAAAAAATGTGCGAGTGAGAGAGATGGAGCGTGTTGGCGGCAGCGAAAAATTTTCACGAGCATTTTTTCCAACAGGAATTCCGCATAACGATGGGCGGATTGAAACGAATAATCGAATGTCCTTGTCGATGAGGTACGCACAGGATAAATCCCCCATTCGCGGAGCCAGCTCAACGAGATGAGTATTGACACGAGAACAGTCACGTGAACAAAGTTAAAGAGAAACACACTTTTAAGAATGAGAAAGAGTGAGAGAGAAGGGAGAGCATGAGAATAAGAGAGAAAGGAAAGGAGAGAAAAAGAGCCCTGGGGCCTTAATCTTTGCGCTGACTCCTCCCGGGCCCCTATTACCCAACCCCACGAGAAACATCAGATTTTTCAGATCGATGATTTATCAGCCAGCTAGGGGAACTCGTGAATCGGCATCGAGTCTTCATTAAACGCCACGAGATTTTCGCTCGAAATTAGGTAGACGATCGTCCGGAGTTAATTGAACGAAAAAAAGAAAAACAAAGAAAGAAGGGAGTATAAAATAAAATCGTGAGAAACGAACAAAAAAGAGAAATCATAGGAAAAAGAAATGAGAAACTTCGATATGAATTTCGCGTGGAATTCTTTCAATTCGGCCGACAGAACAGCGATAGTTGCTTCGATTTAGAGAGAAGAGAGGAGAAACGAGGAAAATGATCTCTAGTCGATTTACATTAGGATCGATCGCATGATTAAATTCTTAATTCTAGAAATTTTAGAAATTTCGCGTATTCGTCACGAGGTTCGTGCAGAATTTCACGATATCACGATCGAGTATGGAAGAAACTCGACAAAAATAAAATAACGAAACGAATTAACGTTGCGTGGCGATGGGTTGGGATCAGAGATAATCAATCATTATTGTCGTACGCGATTAAAAGTTTTCGATTATCGATACGATGGCGCGTTGATGATCGCCGCGCTAGGCTCACGTGTTTATACGTTTTATTAGAGTCTATTTGGTGAAATGTGAATACACATACACACACACATACACACACGTGTTACACATGCACAGACAGGCATACACGGGCACACGCACACGAGAACACACAGTGAAACACATTTTGTGTATATAGTATACATATATAAATAATAATATTATATATATATATATAAATATATTGTATACGTATGTACGCAGTGAACACTTTTACCTTTGTCACTCGACAAAATTCCGATCGAGGCAAAATGTGAGTATGAGAGCAAGAATGAATGGGAGAAAATGAAAGGAATAGAATGAAAGTGGATAGAAAGTGAAACAAGAGAGATGATACTATACCATAGAATCAATAGATATCGTGTACATATTGTAAGAAGCCTTTAAAAACAAGTCCTTTCCGTTTCGATTTTGTCGTGAATGCAGCGTCGTCAGCTGCAGCGAGGATCATGGTAATGCTGGATATTTGTCAACGTTTCTCATTGTTTTTACGGATCTACAAACACTTTCGGTCCTCGTGATCAACGCTTTTGACGCACTACGAACTTGCTGCAACTAAAATACGAAAAATATTTATGGAGTAATTGATGCAATACATATACACAGACACATACACAAACATACTCATACACATACACGCACACATACAGAAACATATACAAACGTTCTTGATTGCATACCAGTTGCACGAATGTAATCGTGACAACCGATAATGCTAATCGAGTTTTGGTCGTTCGTGTATATTGATTTCTTTTTTAGATGCACGCATCAACGTTGTTTCTTAAGTAGAACGAACAAATCTCGAGCTCGCCATTCTTCGCAGAAATAGCCTTGCGCACGGCCAGTATAATTAAATAATATCAAAAGGGCAAAAAAAGAAAAAAAAAGAAAAAAAGAAAATGTACGAAACGTAATATAATGAATTTTTCTAAATTAATTTAGGGAATTTTACTTAAAACGATCACTTATGCATCATTAGACTAGCGAAACGAAGCGTTTCTTTCCCGGAACGATTACGTTCGATATGCGTTCGTGTATGACGTTGCTGTGTGAATTTAGCGAGATTTTCTTATCGTTTTCACGCTGTTTTCGCATTTTCCACGGCCGATCGCTGGCATATTTTTCTTTAAAAATAAATTAAAAATAAGGATTTGGCGCACGGTCCTTTGAATCTCAAAACTTGAGCGTGGATCGTAATTTCTTGTCGATATATGTATCTCTGCCAGCGATTCAGCGTCGTCGTCTTATCGAAAGTGTTTCAAATTCTTACTAAGCTCGTTGTTTGTTCGCCACATTAAATTGGCGCTGGAAGATTATATAGTTGTTGAAGATTACAAAAATCTTCGTGCAACGCCGTTTATTGCATTTTAATGGCGTCACCGATGGATCGAGCGAGTATCGAAGCGAAAGTCTTCGTGGAACGCTCTCAAGATGAACTTTAAAGACGCCTTAAGAATTAAGTAGACGATCGTGTGGAGATCAGCATTCGACCTAAATTTTCAATCGCTACGCTGTTAAACGAATTTTATTGGCGCCTTGCGCCGTAATAATTTCGCTTGTCGAAAATTCCATATGTTATCTTTAGACTGGAAGATTTTTATAAATCGAGCGAAGATGCTGAAAAATCTATGACAAATATAAAAAGATAGTTTGTTTCGAATTCGAGGCAAATTATGGAATGTTCGAGTTTCACGTTTCACGATTTTTCACGTTTTCCAGTTTCGCGAGTATTCTATTGGTCGCTAACTGTAAAATGTTTTTTGTAGCCAACGTTTGTAAATACTAGGTAAAATATATTTGCAAAACACTATCACTGGTGATGTCTATTTAAAGATACTCACGCTTCTACTTCGATGTAGGCGAGTTTTAGTCAAAATTCAATGCGAGAAGGAGCGTGCGTTTCGGTTTCTTCACGACGCGATTCGAGTGCAATTTGGAAACGAATGCTCGGTAGTAGCTAGAGTTTCTTTTGAACTTTGTTTCGTCGTGTCGAACAGAAGCCATTTGTACTAGGGTAACGTTCTTATATCACGTTTGCTCGATTATTTTAACAAGTTTCTCTGTTTCTGCGATTTAACTACGAATAGCGCCGCGACGCATAGGCGACTCGATTTTAAATCGTAGCTATTGTATACAATTTTTTCTAGACGTCAATGACGCGATTGATAGAGGATGTGTAACAATATCTAGCCCACATCCTTAAGCAAATGAGAATTTTTTATAATATTTTGTAAGAATCTTTCGCTCGAAAGGCAGCGATAGAAACCCACGTCATGCAGACCTGATACGAATTATGGCGTCTCACGTGGCCACATACATACCACACACATACACATACACACACACACACCCACGATACACGAATTTGAAAGGAGCCCTTAATATTTCTTACGGTACGATCCCTAGTAGCTAACTGACGCGAGACCCGTCGGTTTTGTAATCATTAACGATTTCGGTTTAGGATTTTAGCGGCTTCCAGTCCGTTCTTTCTTTCGATATATCGAAGACTAGTGTTCGAATCTGTAACACGTGCATTAGCGCGCTAAATTAAATGCAAAACGAGAGAAAAAAAATTATATGAAACGTAACTTGTAGCTTTCGATCGACGTCAATTCGGATCTACGTGAAAAAAAAACAAAAAAAAAAAAAAGACAAAGGAAATCTCTGTAGTATTTCTCAGTAAAACGATCTAGGATTAAAACTCGCACGCGACAAGTTCGTTCGATGCCTACAAAAATCGACACACATTCTGTTCTAGCGAAGACAAAAGAGAACAAAGAAAATATCTCCCATCACAAGCGAGCCAAATAAAAAAGTATTAAAAAAAGGCGAAAAAAGAAAAATTCGAAAGACAAAAAAGAAATGATACAATTCACTGAAAATCGCGATGTCATGCAGGAAAGCTGAAAGTCCAATCGGCAACGCAATCGAATTTTCTTCTGAAAGACTTAACGAGAACATATTAACGAGCGTTTAAATATCGATGTTTAAGCTGTTTAGGAAGAAACGAGAGAAAGACGAGAGAGGGAAGACTGGATGCGGGAGAGATAGAGGGTAAGCCTTTCTTCAAGAGTTGCGAGAGTCGAGAGGGCGTAAGTACAATTCGTTCGATGTATTTAAAAAAATTAGGGCGCGAGTTTAAATTAATTAGGAGTGAATTGTTGCGTTGGTTTGCACCATGTGCACGTGAATGTGTTGTTAAAATCTAGACTGCTTTTGCCGGCGTCGCGGCGGCCGATTTCGTGCGATCGATCGACGCACTCCTCGAAGAATGCAACCCCAATTACACGAATGGTTGGAAGGTCCAAAAAAAAAAAAAAAAAAAAAA